CCATGTGCAGAAGTCGGTATTTTGTGGAAGAGCCACACTCAAGGGGCCAAAGAGCCGCATGTGGGTCGTGAGGCGCGGTGTGCCGAGCCGCAGTTTGCCGACCACTGGCCTAGGCAAGTTGTTGGGAGGACTCCTAGGAGCAGTAGCATCTTCCTCGCCAGCCTCCTGGCTGCCAGCTCTCCCACGTGGCAGCTCTGTGCCAAAGGCCTCAGACACACCGAAGCCCTGTGAGCCAACACCGACTCCACTCCACCGAGGCAGACCCTGAGGGTACCGGGGAAGGTAACTCACTCGTCTCAGAAATAAGGCAACCGAGTCAAGAGGCCAGGACAACTGTTCTGAAATTTAGCGACGGCAGGTCAGCCTCCACATAGGCCATCACGGATGGTTTCCTGGGGAAGGAAGGGTGTTTGTCCTGAGGTTCCTCACGGCGGGGTGGCATTGGGGTTTGGAGATCCAAGACAGAGGCCTCCCTTTCCGTCTGAGGGGCCAGCCGGGGAGAGGACCCAAAGATAGACGCGCACAAAGCGAGTTTGGGTGGTGCCGAGGCCAGCCTGGGTGGAGTGGGGTGGGGTGGGTGGCTAATTGGAGAATTCGATAAAATGTGCATTTTGAAAACTGGTGTGAGATTGTAGGGGACTCAGGCTCCGGGCTAAGGAACTGGCTGGGCAGGAGAGTCACAGCAGATGCATTCACAAGCCCGCCCAAGTGCTTAAACGCTCGTGGGTCTTCAGGAAAAATAAACCTATATAATAAAAGCCAAATATGCAAATCGACCGAACAGAATGACTAGCAGAATGACCAGTTGCTATGATGTGCACTGACCACCAGGGGGCAGACGCACAACGCAGGAGCTGCCCCCAGCCCACAGGCCCCAGGCCAGCCAAGGCGGGTGCCAGCTGCCCACCTCCACCCCCCCCCCATCGCCCCGCCAGTCGCCCCACAGATCAGCCCTGATCGCCAGCCAGGCCTAGGGACTCTACCTGTGCACAAATTTTATGCACGGGCCTCTAGTTATAATAATAATAACCTTTCAGTGGAAAGAAAGCCAAATCTCCTTGACCAAACTGTCAAGTGGGTTGAAATGATTCAGCGAATCTGTGAAAAACGGTGGAATTTCTACAGCCTTGAGTGGTAGACACCACACCCAGCAAAACCATAAGACAAGGGTCACACAGGGGAGACTTACAGACAGTAACCAACACGATGGCAAAACAAGGCTTCAGCCGAGGGGCAGTGCTCCTGTAGAGATGAGCCGAAAGGAAGGAGGAAGAGCACGCACCTGCCCAGGCTCTGGCCTCCCTCTCGCCCCAAGACTCAGGTTGGCTCTGAAGTCAGCCCCCCTTCACACCCCCTTCCCGCCTCCCTTCCCACCCC